GAAACACAAACCAAAAAAAAAAAAAAAAAAAAACCCTTTCTTGTCTTGTAATCAAGAAGATGATGCAATCAGAGCTTCTTCATACTGAAACTGAATTTTGTGCTATCCAAATTGATCAAGACTCCTCTGGGATTGCCTTCTCAGACTTGACGTCCCTTTTTCCTGATGATGTTTTTACTGATCTTTCAATGGATGATTTGGAGTTTGATGATTTCTGCAAATGGTTAAATGATAGTGAAAGTGAAGAAGAAAATGGAAATATGAATATCTCAATCTCTTGTGAGATGCAAAAGGATGGAAATTTATGGAGTCCTGCTATTTCAGGAGCATCAAGAAATAGTGCCATTTCACTTGTAATTCCAGGAAATAGTAAAGAATTGGATACTCAAATAAGCCTTCATCATTTATTAGCAGCATATGGAGAGGCCATAGAAAATGGTCATAAGGAACTAGCAGAAGTGATCATAAGAAGCATAAAGGGAAAAATAAATCCTTTAGGCGAATCGTTGGAACGCGTTGCATCCAATTTGTTCTTGCAGATAGAGGATCAAGAAGATTACTTAAAACAAGAATCAAGCAAGAATCTTGAAGTAGCATTTAAGGTTTTCTACCAGATTTTCCCAATAGGAAAATTTGCTCATTTTGCTGCTAACTCAGCAATAATGGAATCCATTCCAGATGATGTAGAAACTATTCACATAGTGGATTTTGATATGGGAGAAGGGATTCAATGGCCTCCAATTATTGAAGCCATGTGTCAAAGAAGAAAGGCTATGAAATTAACATCCATAAAGAAAACAAAGGAAGAATCAACCAGTGATCAGTGGAGATTTGAGGATATAAAAAGAAGACTTCTTGATTATGCAAAGCCCTTTGGCCTAAGATTACAAATTGAGGAGATGACAGTTGAAGAGTTGGCAAGTGAAATGAGAAGAATGAAAAAAAGGGGAAATGGGAATGAATGGTTGGTTTTCAATTGTATGTTTAAACTCCCACACATGGGAAAAACAAGATGCAGAATCCATGCCTTGGAATTTCTAAAACTAGCTAAGGAAATGTTATTAGCCAATTCTTCAACTCATAGAGGACTTGTCACTTTTGGTGATGGAGAAGCAATGGACAATAGTCACAATACTAATACTTTTTCTACATTCTTCAACAAGAATTTGATATATTACCAGTCGATTTTCGAGTCGTTGGAGTTGTATTTTCCAGCTTATCTTGCAGAAGCAAGACTTGCCATGGAATCCCTTTTTCTAGCACCTCAAGTCTGCTCATTTTCTTGGTTTCAAAACTGGGAAGAGATAAGAAATACTTGTTATTCTTGTGGAGAAATTGGATTGCAAGGCAAAAGAATAAGCAAAGAGAACTTGTTACAAGCCAAGGAATTGGTCAATGAAAGAGAAACTCCATTAAAGGTGAGGATTGAAGAACAAAGGCAACATGAAATGGTCTTGGAATGGAAAGGGACACAGTTGGTGAGTGTTTCAACTTGGACGAGAATTTTAAGTTTATAAAAAGGTAGTTTAATGGGTTCTGGATAAATTATTTACACATATATCTAGTGGACTTCATAAAACAAATATAGGATTTAGGTCGAATTCTAGTGAACCCTTGACTAAAATTCTAGCTTCGCCCAGAAGAAAACAGTAGCAGCAGCAAACACCATAGAGACACTACAACTCTTTCTCTGTGTCGTTTTCTTTACCATTATTTTTATAGTGTTCTCCTATGAAGTGCCAAAAGTGTACAGAGCCATACTTATATTAGCTTGTCTAGCGTATTTACGTTGTATATATTATTATATACAGACCAGAGTTGTAAATGACAATTATATATTATTTTTTTTTTTTTCATCCGATATTTAAGGCCCGACTAAATCGAATTAACTCTGGAAAATCCCACTTTGGGGTGAAGGTTGTTCAAAATTGAACATCTATATGCTATATTAAAAGCACGAATGCCCTTACTCCCTAGCGAAATGTCGTTCGTTTCTTTTACCCTTTAAAAGTAATTTTGCACGGAACAAAATAGTCATTAAAATTATTTTCCTAATATTTAGGACTTGAAAATTGATTATATTTTGTATATTAAATATTTTCTTATTTGAACTAGGTAAGATATCCTAATATTTAGGACTTCAAAATCAATTATACTTTTAACTTATATAAATCATTAAAAAGAAAGAAAAAACAACTACCTATTATAGCTTTATAATTATATTACCAATAAAATACTACTATCATGTTAATTAATATTTACCTGGAATAAAAGATTAGAACTTAATATTAACGGCTTTCTATCTCATTTCAAATTTGATCGTTATCTATATCTATCTATCTATATTAATAAAAGCATGAATAAAATGTTGGTTTACAAAAATAACCTTATAATATTAAGCATACCAACTCATAATGAAAGGACATAATTGAAATTCTAGACATTAGCCTTGTAATCCTATTAGTTTTAAGGACATCTTAATATATTAGTGTACAAAAATATTCCTAAAATATTGAATTTACTTTTCCCATAAATTTCGGTTGGAGTTTTTAGAACTTCGAATTCATTAAAAAAAAAACTGCAATCTTGGTTTAACTAATACTAATATATCTATGTTTGAAAATGTCACTCAAATTTTCAGGTAGATCATATATTTTGAAGGACATACGAATAAGAACTTTGAATTAGAAAAAGATTTGGCTATCTTTCACATGACAATGTTCCTCCCACTCAAAGTGACACAAAAAGTCAACATAGTATATGTTGTAAAACTTCGCTTCAAAATTTTAAAAATCAAAAGTGCACATTAAATTGAAAAAAAGATTAAGTCTCTAGAGAATTGCATATCCTAAAATAAAAAATAAAATCACTAAAAAGAGGACTTATGGTAAATACAATTTTTACGTATAATAGGCATTAAATTGTGTATCATGCACTTGCCACTTGATCTATTTTGCTATAGAATATAAAAGTAAAACAATGACATGTTATATCTATATTTATCTATCTATCTATATTTATTCTATATCTATATTATTATAAGAGTATGAATACAATGTTGGTTTACAAAAATAAACTTATAAGTAATATTAACCATAATAATTCACAATATAAGGACGTAATAGAAATTCTAGATATTAACCTTATAATCTATTAATTATTGGGCATAATACTACACGTTAAGAATCCTACATGATTACCTTTAGAAATTTTATTATACTACAATTACTTCACGGCATAAACATATAATACTATATGTTAGCATGTAAACCTAATACCTCTAGAAACATGTTAAATTTTCTATTAGTAATTTCGGGATAGAGACGTATTTTTAGCCATGTAATCCCATTACATTTAGGATATACTTCTTAAAACTTTCTATTACTAATTTAATTTGAAAACGTATTATATTGTCCTATTACTAATTTAATTTGAGAATGTATTATATTGTCCAAATTCATTTTAAAAAAAGAGACTATATATTATTATAAAAGTACAAGTACAATATTGATAAACCAAAATATCCCTAAAATATTAAACAGAAGATTCATAGGGAAAAGACATCAGTAATAACCTATTTTTTTGGACTACAATGCCTTCTATATGAATTTTTTTAATAAAAATTTAAGATTTTAAAATTATTAAAATATTTTCTATTAAATTCTTATCAAAAGTAGGTAGGAAGATTTAATAAAATTAATTTTATAAGAATCCTCCGTATTGGCAATATATTACCACTCTATAATGTGTAATACCCAAAAAAAATAGAAGTAATGTTAAATGGATTGAATAAAGCATTAAAATTGAGAAAAAAAATATTCCCACGATAATATCTTTTTATATTATATTTGAACTGATTTGCTACTCAAATAATATTTTTTTATTATCAATTTTTGGGTAATATTGAAAAATATGCCCAATTATTAAAAAAATAACTAAAAAATATTTAAGAATATAAATGCATGAGAAAGAGAAAGAAAAATAGTTAATAAGAATTAATACCAATAATGATTTTGCAAACATAAAGATCTAAAAGTGAAATGTTAGATCGATCTCTTTACTCTTTAAAAAAAATTATGATGAATAAAATTATAATTACAGTTAAATATTCAAAATAAGAGATGTACTAATAATAAGAATCTGAATCAACATTAAATAAACTATTTTTTATGTTAAGATCCAATAATTAAATCTTTCAATTAATTATTTAGCAAGAGGTCCAATTCAATTATTCTTTTAATTCATTGAGTAAAATAATTTTTCAATTTAAAAAATATCTTATGGTACATAAATTTATTCCATAGAAATAGCGTTAGACATTAAAAAAATTAGAACACAAAATAAAAAAAAAGGTCCAGTATAGTATTAAGAATCAAAAGGTCATAAAAGTGTCTGAGGAAGCACAATCAAAACTTCCTGAACAAAAATAAACTTTCAAGACAATATTATAAAGAGTCGACTCAGCTGTAGCGGGATTATCCTTTGTAGATGCCTCCAGCAGAATGGAAATAATATTCTTATGTCATGCATTACATGCAAATATTAGATCAAGAAACATGATATTGTTAGCAATAATAATAAGTGGTGTACCAACAACGATTTTATTATGAGATCATACAAATCACTTTAGATTTGATATACCTCTTCAAAGAACTGAAATAACCATCGCAAATATATCAAAGCAGCACAATGGTACTAAATTTATAAGGAAAACAAAATTGATAATATAGGATGAAACGTTTACATCTAAGCGTCAACTTATCGAAACAATTGACTAGAGTTTAGAGATATATTAGATATCAATGAACCATTTGGCAGAAAAATAATGGTTTGGGAGGTGAATTCTTTCAAGTACTACCAGTAGTTTCAAAATCGACAAAAGTAGAGACTGTAAAAGCTAACTTGCCAAAATTATACTTATGGACTCAAATAAAAAAGATTCAACTGACAAGAAATATATATATATATATATATATATATGAACATATCCAACATTCAATGACTTCTTGCTTCGCGTTGGAAACGTAGAAAAATATCCAATAAAAGATGATTTTGTTCTTCTAGAATACTTTGTTATCAACTCCAATGGTAAGAGTAGTGCACTTAATAGAGAAATTTTTTCATCATCATATTAAAACATAATTCGTGCAAATTACATGATAGAGATTAAAGAGATATCTTAGATAGCAAAAATGAATATGTTGATCAACTAAATAAAAGGTTGATTGTTAAGTTTCATGGTAAAAACAAAATGTTTTTTTTAATTTTTGACTCAACAGAAGATGATACTAATAATTACTATCAAGAAAAATACTTAATACCAAATGACCTTCTACCATACATATTTGTTGTCAAGTTGGCTATTTTTTATGTATGTTAGTGTCACCGTATATACAATAGACTAAGTTAAAACTGATTTTTCATTGCATATAGATTGATTTTAAAGAAAAATATGCTTGTCATACTACTAAACACTTAGATCCACCAAATAGGTTATGTAATAGCACACATATGGTATATAAAAGTTTTGACAATAACGTCATACATACAAGAATTATTATACTGGTCAATATGCTTATAAGTATGTGTTTATCTCCGAATTCAACTTTCGTTTTCAGAAACTAAAGAATATCCTTTTAAATTTATGTGAAAATAATTTTCAGTGTGTTTATGTTTTGCAATTACAATAAATAAAGCACAAGAACAAACATCCTAAATATTGGACTATATTTATCGCAATATATTTTCTTGCACGAACAACAGTATTTTACTCAAGAAGGATATCAATATCGACAACAAAAGTTCTGGTTATGGCAGAGCAACCAAAGCATTAGAAGGAAACATACATAATAATATCATCTACAAAGAAGTGTTCGGTAAGATACCATCACATTAAATACTTTTAAGCTATAATACATAATTATCTAACTAACATGACTAAATTGATCATTTGTGTAAGTTCTGATAATGTCCTTTCATTTTGAATTCACGCATTATGCTTATGTAATAATATTTTTCGATATTTAGATGAGTTGTATTATTATGTATAAAATTTCTCTCATTAGATAAATTTTATTATTCCTTCATATAAATAAATAAATCATCATGTGCCATTATTAACATGCAACGCACGTTCATATATACTAGTACTATATTAAAAGTACGAAGACCATTAGCGAAATGTCGTTCGCCTTTTTTACCTTTTAAAATAGAGTTTATATTAGACAAAATAGTCATTTAATTATTTTTCTAATATTTAAGACTTTGAAATCAGCTAAAACTTTTACTAATTAAATATTTTCTTGTTTAAACCATATAGAAAATCCTAATAGGATTTCTAAATCAATTAAAATATAACATTATATAAATTCTTTCCTTATTTGAACATGTAAAATAACAAGACTTCTTACAAATTATATTTCGTGGTATTTTGTTTCAAAACTATCTTAAATGCCGTAATGAGTTTGGTTTTGGTGTTTCCTTNCGTTTCAGCCCCTTCTTTTAACTAAAAATTTATATTCTTTTCTATTCTATTCATGTGGTTGATAGCTTAAAAGCTACCAATTTCTTTGTGCTTTTTAATTATTTAAAAGTAAGTTGTAAATAAAGAAGTCTATAATTGGTACAACTTAATAACATATGCACACCTAATAAGTAACAATATTTTAAGTAGAAATCATATGAGCTAACTTTATTTTATTATCATCGTTGCGTATCGATCCAATTAAATATCAAGTAAAATAGCATCATCATTCATAATATAATCTAAATTCAAAAATGTCTAGCTATAACTTTAATTTTATATTATAACTCCAAATAAATTTTAAAAAATATGCATACATTTAGTT